ATTTTTCTGTTGCCAACGTGAAAACAGACTTTGACCTTTAGCATTTCTTTTCTTTTTTTCCACACACCAGGCATCTACAATTTCATAATGGAGCACTTCCCTTACTACCGGGACAATCGTCAGGGCTGGCAGAACTCCATTCGTCACAACCTCAGCTTGAACGACTGTTTCGTCAAGTTGCCACGAGACAAAGGCCGGCCTGGAAAGGGAAACTACTGGACCCTGTCTACAAACTCAGACGACATGTTTGAGCATGGCAACTACAGGTGAGACTCATCCGCATCTGCTAATTGCTAGAGGCTGTCAGGTCAAACGTAAAGTCGACATTTCTGTCGACACACTCGCAAGGTCTTCACTTTTGTGTAGAATTGAGGAAAATCTCTTTCGATTTTCATTTTATTGTCCTTTTCCTCCGACAAAAGGGCATATTTATGAATAAAACGCCTCAATTGCTTTGGAGGTTTGGGTTTTCCTTGCGTTACTATTAGCAAAAAAGTGAGTTGGTTGCTCAGGCGTCTGCTGTCTCCAAGGCTGGTGGGCGACCCTTCGTCCTTTCGGCTGCTCTTGCTCCTCTGCCTGCCTCTGAGCCCGGGTTGGTGGGACTCGAACGCAGGCTGATGCGGGCCGGGCCTAATCTGCCAGGCGGAGGCTGGACGGAAGAGAAGCAAGTCCAACTGAGACGCCAGCTCGTCTCTTCTGTCCGGCACACACACATACACACACTGTTTGAATCCTCTGTCTCTGGCTTTCGGGACACCACAATTCGCCCCATTAGGTGGGTTTCAGAATTTCGAGGCTCGCGGTCACAGACACGGATTCCACTCGCGTTCGGCTGAACTCAAAGCCACAGGCCAGTCGGGTCGTGAAGAGAACGACTTTTTGGCAGAGGAAGGCCTAAAACTCGTTTCGAGGCGGTATCTTTCGGCTGGCTGACAAGCCGAGTGACTTCAGAACCAGTCAAAGTAGACGCGCCTTGTGATTTTTTATATGCCCTTTTGAACAAGTCATTTTGTGTGATTCTCGGTGGAATATCGATGCTGCGTTGACATGGGCTGTCAGCAATTTAATAGTAGGGAATCTTGACTTTTCCCTTCTAAGAAAGGTTTCGAGAAAGACATCTTTGGTCACCCAACACTGATTGGCCGGATTTGTTCCACAATACAATGGATGAGATCAGCGCTATCAATGCATTTCATTCCGCCTAGCCTCTTAAAAGGTTTTCCTATCATGCAAACGAAACGAAATGAAATGATATTGTGAGACGTAATCACATGATTTTTCGCTTTTATGACAAGTTTTTTTCGATATTAAAGTAGGGTTTCGAGACTACCAGTAAATCAGTGTAATGAGATGTATTCACTCTATTTCGTGTAAGGTGATTCGCGGTTCGAATCCCGCTGAGGGTGTTGATAAGACCAATGTGAGGTCGAAACTGCAGTCCACTCCAGCCGGGA